ACTGCAAAGGCTTTAAAATAGATGTGAGTGGTGGATATGGCCACTGTCAAGTTTCACCCTTTCTGAAGTGAGGCCTGAGCACTCGCAGAGGAAGCTGGACTCTTAGTTGTGTCCACACTTCTCTCCTGCCTCCCAGTGAAAGAAGCTGTCTATGGCTAAGGTGATGGTGACAGTGCAATGAGGTACTTCAGTGTAAACAAAGCTACCACGTTGAGGGTTACAGCCTCTATGCATGAAGACAGGGACCACAGCGTCCTTTAGAAATTGAAAATTGTGAAATTATGTCTTAACAACTAATGCATGTGTTAAAGTTCTGGATTTTAAGTTTAACCCATGAGGTTTCATGGCTGTAGCATTTACAGAGCTGCAGAAGACTCTGTAGTCCAAAGAGCCCCTATCGCTCTGATAAATTCTTAGTTCTCATCTTGCCCTGAGCCTAAAAATTATATATCCATTGCTAAGGATGGGATTGGTGTCTTTGAATGGACTCAGTCTCTGTGAGAACAGGAGAAACCCACAGAGCTTCTGTCAGCCAGGCAGATAGTCTTATTTCCAGAGGACGAACTGTTTGCACATATCAAGTAAACATACAAGAAAACTGCCATGTGCTTTGTTCTTGGAACTTTCCTCCTCAGTATGGGATAAAGAAAAGACCAGCATATTTTACACTGAGTATCAAATGCAATAGAATTATAATTGTCACCATCTCTTCTTTTATGTATTTGTTCTTGGTGCATACTTGTTTAAATCCTTCCTTTAAGAGACCTTTATATACTGACGTTAAAATAAATTCTTACATCAGATTTCTACTGCTTTCTTCAGGAACTGTCTTTGTGCCTTACTAGGTGGAAAGACACACAAACCTGTGTGTGAACTATAGCTACATAGCCATTCAAGCCAAGTGTGGAGTCTTCTGATTTTGCAAAGCTGAGGGGTTTTTATCTATTTATACATTCACTGAATGCATTCAACGAATAAACATGAACAACATGCTGAATATGCTACTGCCTATAAGCCTTGTAGAACACACACATCCACACACATCCACCTACGATGTGTTTTGCTAGTTACTAATGTAAAGTTGCAGCTTGCTATGAATGTTTACAGTAAATCGTGTCATTTTTCTTCTGGTTTTGGCCAGATACAAAAAAGTCCCTTATTACCTGATATTGATGAAATGGATTCGTTCCCTTGTTGCTTTAAATATTATGTTTAGTGCTGTTCTTGCTCTTAGCTTAAGTATTTTACTTTTCTGCAGATCTTGTCATATTTTCCTTTCAATTATGGGGACAGGGAGGCGGGGAAACATCAGAAAGCATTTGGTCCTTCATTGGGAACAGGATAAACCTCAAGAAAACCAGGTCTTTTCGTTGTTTTGTGGCTTCTTGGCTCAAGTCAGTACCTAGATCCTTCTTCGTTAATTAAATTGGATCTACCACACTGTTTTAGGTGGTCGTGTGGTTTGTTTTGTTTTAAATTTCACAGAATAGTGGGATTTCCCCTTGCAGGTTCTATAGCACTTGGTTAAGTCACTATCACTGGATGATTCTTACCTAAGAGTCTATTTCTCCTCCTTCCCTGGAGGATATTCTTTCTCCTTCTGCCTGGAGTGCTTTTTTCACCGTCCTGATTGTGGAAATCCAAAGAGATCTGATGGCAGTGACAACAACAGGAGACATGCTAAGATCTCAGTTATATGAAAGTACAGATGTATTATTTCCTGGACTATTAAATGTATGTCGTGAGGGAAAAAAAAAAACAAAAAAGAGTGCAAGGTGATTCTAAGATTATGTGTTGGACCAAACAGCTAGAAAGATGGGTTTCCATTTCATGAAATGATGAAGCCTCAGGGAGGAACAGTGTCTCGCGACAAGGAATAGGATGACAAGATCAGTGTCAAATGGGGATGTGCTTTTAAATATTCAAGTGCAGATCCCTTGTAGGCAGCTGAACAGGTGAATGTGAAGGTGAGATACTAGGTATCACCTATAGCTGGGCCTTCCACAGGGCAGCCACTTGCCACACATGGTTAAAGTTAAATTTGATTGAAGTTGGAGGTTACGTTTTTTAAACATTGGATAGCAAATAAGAAGGATCCAGGAAAAGAAACCAGGAATAAACATGAGTGAAGCTGGAAAAAATCAGAATGAAGTTCTGGTGACAGAAAAAAGAGAGGAAGTGATCAGCTACATCTAATCCTACTGACTGGTTGAAAATGATGAGGACAATTAATTATTTGGTGGGACCCTTGAAAGTTTCAAAGATGTGAGGGGAACATCAGAGAAAGAACAAGGGAAAATAAGGAAACATGGAAACAGAACATAAAAAACTCCATAGGGGAGTTTTTTTTGTTGTTGTTACAGAAGGAAATAGAAAAATAGGACACAAGATAGAGGGAGGTACAGAATTAAGATAATGTTTGTCTTAAGATGAGAAATACAGTAACATGATTTGATACTAATGGGGATGATCCAATAAACAGGGAAATTCAGTAAGGTTCAGAAGGTGGGGCAGTGATGGTAGTGCTACTGTACAGTAAAATGGAATGTGGCACACAATCAAGGAAGGATGTCGTCCTAGGAACCAAGGAAGAACACCCAGTGTCTAAAGGGGATTAGGAGTCTCCGGATACAGATGTGGAGACAGATGTGATGATGGGATATTATGTAAGTCTCGTCTTGTTGGCAACATGAATGATTTCTTAGGGTTGACTTGAGTAAAGGTCCGAGGAAGCTCAGTGTCTTGATTGTGTTCAATAGTGATGACGCCTTTATCTTCAGTCTAACTTTTATCTTAAGTGCATCTTATTCTTGACCCCAATAATAGTTTAGACTGCTTGTAGTGAAACTGCATCCAGTGTATGGCTTAGCTGCAAAATCTGGAAGTAGAATATAGGGTGGGTGCCTATGGGAAATTTGTTAAACCACTCTTAACTCACCAGAACGTAAGTCCTGGAAGCTCAAAAGGGGAGGACTAATATTCTTTTGCATTTTCTTTGCACTTGTAATGAATATATATTTCCCTATTTAGTAGAAATCAAGATGTAGTTTGAATGGGGGAATGGGTGGCTCTAGAAATTGGACAGAAGCACTCGCTTTTCCTGTAGCACTTGTACTTAAATCTGTCTCCATCACTTAAGTTTGTGATGTGACTGTCCTGCAGTGGAATATCATCCCAACTCAGCCCTTAGCTCATTGTAATTCATGTGTTGTACCCATTTGTATTGTCACACATATAAATGTGATGCACTGCATTATTTTCCTCCCTACAAGACTTCTGCATTTCTGGGAGACAAAGCAAATAGCAATCATAGTGCTATATTTGAGACACTGCTTTGATTGAAAGAGAAATTAAGTTAGCATGAGATTATCTTCTGAATGTGAAACTGCTCTTACAATTCTAGTTTGGCCAGTGTTTATGTAAAACCATCTGAAAACATTAAGAGAAACACTGTAGGAATACCAAATAAAAGAAGCATATGTGAATGTTAAATCCAAAAAAATTTTCATTGGCAACTGATGAGAATTGACATTTGTCCATTTTAATGGTGCTGCCTTTCATGGTGTTTTGATTTTGTTTTGAATGAAGTGTGATGGAACACAGATTTAACATTTTGCTTATTTCTGGGAGGCCCCAAGATTTATCATTATAAAATGACACCCACACCATGCAATCTTAAGAGTTAGCCATAATATTCCCAGAGACATTTAAACTAATAGCAAAGTGGAAGCCATTTGGTAGAATACTAAAGAGTAGTCTAGTCTAGTGGTGGCCCTTGAACAGCTGCCACCCACCCGACTTTAATTGAGGTAAGATTCCCACCAGACAGAGATAGAGCCAGGGGTTCCTATTTTTAACTAGCAATAGCCTTCGCCTCTTGGGCATGATTGCCCAGTTCTGGTGGTGAAGAATTTCCCACAAGACCCAGAGTGGGAGGAAACCAGTTATTTATATTCATGCTTTGAGCTTGAAAGAAAAAAAGAAGAGTAGTTAAGAGGGCATCAACAGTTAAGAGGGACAACAGTGAGGTGTCTCCTCACACCAAAATCAAGGTGATATATTGCGCTGTTGAGGCGCTCTTTTGTTGGAGGTTTTATTTAAGATCGTTCCCCAGTCACATGTGTGGCCTTGTACATGTTCCACCCGGCTTTTTTTTCAATGACAAAATAAGCAGCCTCGTTGTAGTTGCTGGAGAAATGTTCTGAGAGAACACAGGAAAGGCCCAGTCCACGCTTGCCCTTCTCATGCTAGTCAGACTCCACGGGATCAGACTTATACCGAGTTCTTGCCTTGTTGAGGTTTAGTCTGTTCCGGTGCGTACATCACCAATCTGTGATTCTGACTGTATTTCTTTTCTTCTTACCTGTTCAGCCTAGGACACAGCTAATACATATATTCTCTTTAGGAATTTTAGTAGAAACCCATTTGGCTTCTAGAGTTCATGAGAGGCAGCTCTACATGGAGTATCCTGTGGTTTTTGGAGTGCTTCCCCTGGGCTCAGAGTATATGAATTGTGGCCTAGGATAGATCATAAAAATAGATACGCATAGACTGAGCTGCACCTATTACGTGTGTGTCCCATGCCAGGCTTTCAAATTTAAATTAGCGTTAAGACCCAGCACCGGACAGCAATACAGCCATCTTTCATTTTAATGTAAAATGCGTGTGAATACGTGTGTGATCTAGAATTGAGGATTGCTTGCTCATAGCAAATAATTACTGTCTGCTCTTTAACTTCTAATTAAATCACAGTTTTGATCCTTTAACATATGTGTTTTATATAAGTATCGCATGCTAACCAGTTGCACCACTGGAGCTTTGACATGTGTTTTAAAGTGTCATGAAAAATTGAAATCAGCTTAAAACATACTTGGGAACAGTGAATTGAATGGATAAAATAAAAGTGATGTGCAGGTATCTTTAAAATGTTTAGCAAGTTTTCTTGAATTCCAGGGTCTGACTCATACCTTGATCTCTGATTTTTATCTCATACCATCCAGATTCTGATGCAAGGCAAAAATCCAGGGATAGCTTGGAAGTACGCACTTCCCAAGGCTGCAAATGGAACTCAGCCAGCCATAAAAAGGCCGCACCACACCTGGAGTACCGTGCAGTCAGCCTGCTCCGTCTCCTGTGGAGGAGGTAGTTGCTTCCCTGATTCCATCTTCCAAGTCTGTCTCTTCGAAAACAGGTTCTTTCATTCTACGGTGCTTTAACATTATATGGTATAAATAAGCCACCAAAGAACTATTTTTCAGGGGAGCCATCCCTATGAAAAGCAAATATTGTACAATTCAAGGATTTTCCTATGTAGCAAGAAATCAGTTCTCACAAAGCTCAAATCAACCACAACCAAAGCATAATTGCACATCTCTGGAGGTTGAGACCAGAGGATCACAAGCTTGAGGTTAGCCTGGGAAACTTAGCAAGACCCTACCTGAAAATCAAAAATGAGGAAGGGCTGGGGCTGTCACTCAGGTTCAATCGCTAGTACCACCAAAGCCAAAAACACTGCATACCTGAAACTTCAATAAGCTACATTTATTTCTAGATTTATAAACATAGTTATGTCTCTCTGAGTACCTATACAATTTTCAGATTATAGTTCAGTTTCTCCTACTGACTATGTCATTATAAACCTCCCATTGGACCTTCAAAAGGATGAAAACAAGTGAGAACACACCCAGGGCACCCTGAGGATGACTCTGGAACATAGGGACTGTATCATTGTATCAGTCCATCCCCTTGGGGAAAGCCAGCAAGCCTCTGAGCAGGGACACCAACAATTCCCACTTCGCAGGAAAAAGGCATTTTACTTGGGGATTGGAAATGTCACACATTCTTAGTTGCATCCGTCTTACATGTGCCCTTTGGCAATTTGCCCTTTGGGAAAAAGAATGAGATTTCCTTTACCAGGGCACGAAACCAAAGCATGAAGAAGATTGGTGGCTCATTTCCTGTTAGAGTGGGGACAGTGACTCTTCCTACTGGGCTTCTCCCACTAGGTACACAGAGGTCTCTGAATTCTTGTCTCTGACCTCACAGACAGTCTGTGAGGTCTGTCTCTAGATGCACATGCTACTTAACAAAGTACAAGGAAATACTTTACACACACACACACACACACACACACATAAATAAATAGGTAATGCATTTTATTAATAGTGAAAGCCAATATGCTCTAAAGAAGAAAAATAATCCCTTCAATTAGCAAGAGCCAACATTAATACTTTGTTCTATTTTTTTTTCCTATGCATATACAAATACGTGTGTCCGATAGTTTCAGACACATACCATAAATCATTCTGTACTATTGTTACTGAAAAGATATCACAATATAGATATTACAGTGGTTCTTTTCTTGTTGGTCTCAGATTGTGAGCAGTTTCTTATATAACTCAAATGTTCTTGGAGAACATTTTCAATGGTTTCTTAGTATTCCAGGAAGGGCACAGTGCCTTGGGAAGGAGAGAAATTTGATTCATTTTCCACTCAAGGGAATAAATCCAGGCAAAGTGAGAACAGAGGAGGAGTATGTTGTGGGGTTCTCCCCTTGCCTCGATTTAGCAACTCCTTCATGCGACACATAGACCCTGGTGTGCCCTAGGCGTATGAGAAGGTCCAACGAGTAAGTTCTCTGGAAATGCACCATTAACTCTGGAGAATTCCAGTGTGGTTTTGATCTGTCCTCCCAAAAGCCAAACTACTTCAACCTGAGGAGAGGACTGAGTGAGAACTCACCTTGATAGGTGTTAATCCTCATAGCTTGAGTGACCTTGTGTCATTCCTCAGACTCCATCTTAAGGAAAAGTACCATGTAAGTGGGTCACAGGAGAGGCGGTTTTTCTGATTTCAAAATATAAAATTGTTCTCACACACACACACACACACACACACACACACACAGATGAAAGCCCCTGATACCAAAACAAGGCAGAGAGATACCAGTAGTACAAAACCATGCTAACTAAGAGGTACAACACATATGCAGAGAGCTCAGCCTTTTGCATGAAGTACATCATACCTTTGTGCAAGTATAAAATGCTTCATGGCAAAGTGGTGCTTTAGATTTCCACACACCATTCCCTAGTGGTTTTTCTATGGGAAACATTTTCCAGGAGATGTACGCAAAATGAGCTCAAGCTTGCTGGGATATTTCCCTTTATAGTTGTTCCAGTTTTAAAAAATGGTACTTATCATTTTATGGCACTAGAGTCTATCTTCATCTTGAAAATTAAGAATCTACACACTAAAATTAGTAAAATATAAAATCTATTATCTTGGGGATAAATGGAATTCAGATTAGTTGCAGCTGTATCAAAAAGTATTTTCAGCTGGGTGTGGTGGTACACGTGTGAAGATCACAAGTTTGAGCCCAGCCTAGGCAACTTAGAGACTTGGTGATATCACTGTCTCAAAATAAAAGATAAAAAAAGATGGGATATAATTCAGCCAGGCATGGGGCCATACGCCTGTAATCCCAGCACTCAGGAGGCTGAGGCAGGAGGATCCTTGTGAGTTTGAGGCTAGCCTGGGCTACAAAATGAACTCAAGGCCAATTTGAACTGTAGCGCGAGACTCTGTCTCAAAACAGACAAAAGGATAAAATAATTCAGTGGGTAGGCCTTAGGTTCAATCTCTGGTATTAGGGAAAAAACAGTATTTTCTGAAAGTATTTGAATTTAATATCTTAAATAGAGTATCAGAACATTGATAAATCTGAAGCTAAACTTGGAAACCAAATTCAATTGTTTAACTGAAATTTTCACTTTTATCTTCTGATGTCTTACTAGGTTACATAAACATAAAGGCCATTTGCTTACGAGATCAAAATACTCAAGTCAATGCTTCATTCTGCAATATAAGAACCAAGCCAGCAACTGAACCCAAAATATGCAATGCTGTCTCCTGCCCAGCCTAGTAAGTCAAATGGAAATGTCTTTCTGTTTATATTTATGTTCAATGCCTTTACTGTTGGTATAAGATAATGAAAGACCCACTGTCAGTACTTCTGGTGTGATTCAAAAGTAGGTACAGTGCCTAAAAGGAAAACAGAAAGGAGGAGGAGGTTGGAGGTTGAATTCTGTGAACTGAAAAATATGAACTTGCATGAGACACTCACTTGACTTTTGACAATGCCTACTTGGGGTATGAAGGTATCTTTTTTTTTTTTTAACTTTTGGATACATACTTCTCGGAACCGAACCAAACAGATATTTAAATAATACACAATCCTATATTAGTTAAATTTACATGTGGTTGTATGCTTAGCTTTTATATAAGTTGTCCAAGAACACAAAAATCATAATATTATGTAGACCATGAAACCCCAATGCTAATTATACAGTAGCAAGACACAAAATAAAAAGAGATATGAGCCAAGTAGCAATTCCCCTGCTGGTGGTGGTCTTGGGGGAGCTCAGTGGGTTTGCTCTTGGACCCATTTTAGCCACACCATTGTTGAACACTAACTTTAAGTAATCTCCCAGCCAACTGAAGTCTCTTCTTGTGTGATTTATCTTCTGCCAAATATATTTATATAAATGGAAAGAATTTCTTGTACAGCAGTGGCACATTCGCCGATGTTTCAGATCATCTTAATAAGTAGTGTTTGGTCTGTGGTGATGCAATCATGTTACAAAATCTTTAAATACATGATTTTTTCTTGTAACTAATAGTGTATCTGTCATAATCATTTGGGATTTCAGCTACCCACCAGTCCCATAAGCACAACTGTCAACTCAGTTTTTCTCTTAAGATCTGGAACCAGTTTTTATTATAAACACAAAGAAGAGAAAGAAATTGGGGGGGGGTGGAATCCATAGAATTCTATGGATTCTTCTTCCTCTTTTGCTAAGAAATATCTGGATCTAAGAACTATTCCAGGGCTCTAGGGTATAATTATCAGAAGTGTTCTTGACCCTTGTGGAGTAATCTCCTCTGTAGATGGAAGTGGTGATGGTGAGTGTGTGTGTGTGTAGGGACAATCAGTATACCTGACTGACAGGCTGATAGTTTCTGATCATAAGCCTTCTTCCCATCCTTGGTTATTCCTGCCAACCAAAGAAAGGGACCACATTTATATAATGACACATCTATATAATGAAGTATGCCAAGGTCTTGCCAACCTCCTAATACTTCCTGATGACTGCCTCCATATAGAAAGGATAATCTGTGCGGAATAAATTTCCTAATTAAAGGTAGAACAGCTCCTTGCAGGCTCTGCAAAGTGGAGGGTGACATGGGTAGAATGTTCCATGCCCTTCCCCTGTCTTCTATCTCCTTATGTATTCTTCAGTATTTTCTGCTAAGATAATGATTCCTGTCAGGGATCATTCTTGCCCAGGGGTATACTTTTTTAAAAGGGGTGTTCAGCGAGTAGACTGGAAGCACTTTTAGGGCAAAAGAATTGATCTGAGTTAACTCTTACTTTTACATGTATCAATCACGTCATAAGCACTTGCTGACTGCCCTGAGCTGAGAACTGGGATGAATCCCATACAATTCTTGTCATCCCTGAAACCACAGGAGGAGATGAATGCGTACAGAAGTAACTGAGCTGCAGTGAGATGTGCTCAAAAAATGTTATATAGAAAAAAACAATCAGGGATAAATTGGACTATGCAGCATCTGGGCTCTGAAGTAGGGGTGGAGCAAGATGAGGTTGGGTAGAGAATTTACCTAAGTCTCAAATATGGAAGAGCACACATGCTAGATAAAAAGTCTGCCTTAGGCTTTTTTCTAATACTTGTACAAACTCATCATATTTGTCACATGAAGGAAAGAGATTTGAATTTGGTATAAAATTCAAATCTATACCATTTTATAGGCAGATATTGAAACTAATTATTCCATATTTTCTTTACACCTTATAAGATCCGCATAATTATATAAATATGAGGAATTGTTCTATCTGACATCATCTTTTTAACCAGGATAGTTTGGGTTATGAAGTGTTTTCAGATTACAAATAATCCTACACACTATGTGGATAATTCTCTCAACTTCAATTTCACACATGAAGGTTGTGAGGAAAAAGTTGTAAGAGTAAAGAGAGATTTGGTCTTCTTGATTAGGTTTTATTTTCTAGAATGGTAGAATGTTTGTAATCCGAGATTGGCTTTAGGCACTGTTACTATGACATCAGTGTGTAACAGGCATATCTGGTGTTATCTTTTCCCCACATTTTTTATTAGTGCCTACTGGTTATACAGAGTAAAGAGTTCCATTTTGGCAGAGAAAATTAAAATTGCTTCTAAGAAGTAGTTTTGATGAGCATTCACATGTACATCAACTTTCAAATAATTGTGGAAAAAAACTGATCTGCTAATTTTTGAATAAATGCGGAATGTGTTTTTCCTGAAACTGTGTGGTGATTAAATGTGTTTCCTAATAGCTCAACCACATTTGCATATGTTTCAAAATTTATAAAAGAGCAACAGAGAAAAGATCCAGTTGCCCTTAGTGGTTTAAAATGGATCTAGGGTTTTCACGAGGTGGTTCATCATTCGCAGTCACTGTTTTAGAAGTGACCATAAAAGGTCTTGGCCTCCCTCAGAATGGTTTTTTTTTTTACTAAAAGTTGGATGCCCGGTGAATGGAGCTCGTGCAGCAAGTCATGCGCTGGGGGCCAGCAGAGCCGGAAGATCCAGTGTGTTCAGAAGAAGCCTTTCCAGGAGGTGGAGGCCGTGCTGCATTCTCTTTGTCCCGTGAGCACACCCACTCAGGTTCAGGTCTGCAACAGCCACGCCTGCCCTCCAGCATGGAGCCCTGGGCCCTGGTCTCAGGTAAGTGGGAGAGACTTGAAACTGGTCTCATCCCCACCCCCATGTAAGACAAAGGAGGTAAAATGCTCCCAGCTCTTGGTCTTTATAAGGATCACACTGAGTTGACACGGGGTCTGGGGATCTGCATTTTATCTAGTGTTTGTTTTTTAAGTGATTCTTATGAGACCTGAAGTCTAGGGCCCCCTATCCCAGAGCTTAATCCAGAAATTCATGTGCGAGCCACTGGGGCAAAGCTGATGGGTGCAGCTAGAAAGGGACTGGATGCAGCCCTGGCTTCGGAGTTCTCCCAGGCAAATGGGAAGATGCAAATATGAAGGATAAATATAGAAGTGCAGTTCTTGCTACAACAAGAATAAAGTAGAGTGAAATGAATAGAGAGAGGAGCTGGGCATGGAGTTGGTATTATCACAAACTTCCAGTGAAAGTAGTAACATTATAAAATTGGAAGGGGCATAGAATCCCCCATTATTCACAATTTAGAAATTCCCTCTAAAGTAGAAGTTCTCACCTGGGCAGATTTTATTGGTCTGGATGTTACCAGTTATCCCTTAGGGGAAGGCATATAGGCCTGGTCCTTCTGTCTTTATCTTGAGGCCTGGCCTCCAACACATGCACTTCCAGCCGTAGTTGTAATGTGTTTTCATTTTTTGTATTGACTCCCTCGAGGGCTCAGCCCTATCTACCTGCCTCTAATATTCCTACTTAACTGAGCTGTCTGTATTAATAGCATGGAGGCAGATGGGAGCTACTGGATCTCATGTGTGCAGAGGCGCAAATGTCCTACCAAGCAAGAAGTGCTCCCTGCAAGGAGGAGTAAATATCAGGGCTTTCCCACCTGCAGTACCACCGCATCTCATACCAACCTCTGCTGAGCAGAAATGGCAAACACAGTTCAGAGGAGCCCAAAACTTCAGGAGTTCTAGCACCCTAAGTGTGAATCCAGGTGACAGCCAAAGCTCATCCACCTGCCCTACTTTCTTCAGACTATATGATATCCTGGACGATGTTGCTTTCTTAAGGTCAGCAGTGCAGGACAGCCCCAGCAGAGGTCACAAGAAGGCTGGTACTCCTGCTATGACGATACCCGTTAGGGGAGTTAAGGACCAGGAGTATGACAGGAGTATGACAGCGTATCTTTGAGAATGCTTAGGGTTTTTTTCCAAATGGAAGAATATATTCCCTTATAGCACAGAGTAAGGATAAGTAGGATATAGTGTTGAATCTGTTGTTTTTTCTGTATTGCAGCTGGGAATTATAATTTATAAAGGACAATTTAAAGGACTGTTTGAGTCAAATGTGTATGGTGGTCTTAGGTGAAAGGAAATCAAGACTGGCAACTTTCACGCGAATTTGTCTAGTCCATGGTGTCCACCTCAAATTTCATATGGAAGTATTTTGAGTGTTTTTTTTTTTCAGTTTGATTACTAAAGCCTTATTGAGAATTTATCCCTGCCTAATATGAAAGAAATCCTTGAGAAGGTGTTATCACAAGCTGGTGTCCCTTTAGAGACAGGTTACAATAACACATTGATTCCTTCTAGAATCGATTTAAAAATTTTGCCATTCCAAAAAATAATTGCAAACATCAGATGAGAATTTCTTTCAAGTAATCATGTCTATGCAGTAGTGATGATGTGTGTAGCCACTCATTTCCCAGGTCTGGCAGCAGCCTGACTTGTTGGCTTTAGTCTGTTCCTTAGCTGTGAGATTGGCCTTGGGGCCTGGGTACTGATGATCTGATGCCTCTTCTGTGAAGTGGAATGATAGCAGCAGTCTCTTAAGGGTTACAGGATTGTGAGACATAACCTCCCATAGAAAGCATCCCGTGTGCCTTGCTGCTGGGATGGGCCAATTATGATCTCATCATCTCCCTTATGAATGGAAAGAGTGAGAATTCACATTGGTCCTCAAAGCAAGCTGCGAAACATGCCTCAGCTAGCTGTGTGTTGATGAGAGGCCACATTAGTCACAGTCCTTCCTACAAAGGCCAAGATGGTGACACATCCCATGAGGACAAGCCCAAGCCTGGAGCCTGTCTTTAATGTGACCCTGGCAAGTGTGTAGCCAGTCCTCTAAGTGAGGGGAGTCTTTGCTATCGGGTTAATAGTATCCCTTAGTTATTGATGGCTGATCAGGTCCACGGTCTTCCAGGATGAAGGCTAAATAAGAGGTGAATGGAATGATTTGAAGGCTGCAGGAGGAACAAAGCCTTCTCACAGAATTCAAGATACTCTCAGGGCTAAGACCAAGACCTTTTCTGGGTGGCCCATATTCATTTGGCTCTCCAAAGAAGGGAGGGGAGTACTTAAGAAGGGCAGAATTACTCAAGGACTTCTCCAAGTAAGGTATTAAGTTAATCCTTAATCCACGGAGGAGTGAGATGCCTGAGGCTATAGTCTTTATCTAGTTGAGACTGGATCCAGGTGTTCTTGGCGGTGGTCTTGTCTTATCCTTTGAGCCTTTGTGGCTTTTTCTGCCATTACAGGTTTTAGTAGGGATTGATGACTCACAGAGGTTCACTTATTATGAGTCCGTCACCCACTTCCAGACAAGCAGCCTAGGCTTTGCACAGATTCACAAGTAAACATACAAAGCCAATTGGTTAATTTAAGTCCTGCTCAGGGCTCCTTCATAGTGGTCTCCATCATTTGCTACCTTATCCACTGCACTGAATTCTACTAAAGCTCAAGAAAGTAAGAGCTTGAGAGTTAATTGTCTACCATGTACATTTGTGGCACATAAACTTATTCACAAACAAACTGCTCTCTCTGATAGTTCAGACAGTGCCTGGAGAGAACAGTGGCTAGGGTAAGAATGTAAGTCCCTGGGACCATTTCCAGGACTATCTGTCTAGCATGGTTGGTGCTGCACCTGTCGTGGACACACATTTCTGCTCTCTTTCTCCTTTGCTGGAGACCAAAGTAATCCTTCTCAGCCCAGGCCCGCTCTGCTTTTACCCATGGGTAGACTGTGTCCCGTTCTAATTTTTGCCATGTGTGCTCCACTGCACATCCACTACACATCCTCTGATTCATGACGTCTATAGCTCCTCTTCAGATCCACTGTGACACTGGGGCCACTGGACATATGCAAGGGTGAAGGCTAATCATGACAGCCTGCAGTCTTTCCTGGGTCTGAAGGTAGATTTCTCCTGCTTCAGAGAACTTTATTGGGGATGTCACTCAAATGATTAAAAAGTGCTCTGCAAACATTTCATCTGGTAAATGCTCTCAGTATTTACCAGATGAAAATAATCTGAAACAGCATGCAAATAGCATTTCTTCTTATCTGTAAGTGTTCCAAGACCTGTGGACGTGGAGTGAGGCGGCGTGAGGTCCTGTGCAAGAGTTCTGCCACAGAGACCCTCCCTGAGAGCCGGTGCAGCAGCAGCCCCAGACCCGAGGTACAGGAGGGCTGTGTGCTCGGACGGTGCCCCAAGAACAACCGGCTACACTGGGTCCCTTCTTCATGGAGTGAGGTATGAATTTATTTTTTTTTAATTCTCAGATAATATCACACTATCCAGATGCACCAGGCTCCTTTCTGTTGCACACATGGACCAGGTTCTTTCTAATTGCTGGTTGTTCACCTCCAATTTGTTCAGCAGACAACCTTTTGACTAGATCTGTGCCTGGGTAAAGGGATACAAAACTGAACATATCGAGTATGCAAAATGGGCAAAGCTGGTAATTTTCTGGGAAAGCCCATGGCTAGTCAGAGCCAGATTTGAGGAAAGACCGTCATCAGAAGAAACTCCAAGGAGCATGAGCCTCTGGGTCAGGAATCATGCCTAGGTGGTTTGGAGGAAGGTTGTTACTTACATGGAGTGCAAACTTACATAAGGAAAAGGTGACAGGGGAAACTACTGGAGACAGATCATAAGGTGGCAGATTACAGGCTAGAAATATCCCCTCTGCACATGGAGGAACCATCTGAAATTTGAAAGGAAGCCTGCAATAATCAGACTTTCATTTGAGAACAGGGGAAGGAGTGCAAAGCACTCAAAACCCAGGCAGGGAAGGACTTTGTATGGCTGTGGCAGCAAGGAAGGTTGGAGAGAAACCAGGTCTTTGAGTTCCTGATTTGCACTTTCAGGCATCTATCAGGGAGGGGAGAAGGATGGTGCCTTCTAGGTCTCTCAGACTTGGGAAACTTGCTTGAATATACAGATATAAGAAAAAGAAAAGGCCCTAAGTCCAGAGTATATCATGGGGACCAGTGAGGTCTCTCTTATAGCACTGACAGTCTGGTAAGGAAGACAGACACCAAGAAGGACAGAAATATCAATAATGGGGTGGTGAGGTGGAGTAGAGGGGAGGCTTCTATCCCTACACCCATTGGCTCCATTCGGGCACTGCCCTTTTATTCCGCCTATGGAGCAGGTACAGGTCCACATCATGAATGGGATACAGCAATATGCCCTTCTCTCTTATCCTCATCCATTTTCTGTACAAGACATTGTAACCTAATGACAAAATCCATGGGTTTGGACAGACGCTGTGTGGAGCTGGCCATCCATACAGTGGGTGCGACCTGGGACTAGCCTGGCTGTCCTCACCTTTACAGAGGAGCTCAACTTCCTCCTGCCTTGGAGAGTTGTTGGAAGCCCACTGTTACTCCTTATTATGTAACATACTGACATTGATACCACATGTCTTGATTTACTCTCTTCTTCAAGTCCTTATACGTTCTCCTACAATTTTGTATAACATACTTTTAAAGACATGTTTTGCTCATAGTTATTTCATCAGCCTCCTGTTCTCCTTTTCCAGCCATACTGCAGCATTAGATGATTCTTTTACCTGCATGTCATGTGACCAAGATATATGTGTTAAATTGTGATTCTTCCCACTCAGCTGTCTCTTGAACCTTTTTCTTGCATTGGCTCGGATTCCTCCTACCTCAGAGCGACCTTGGGGTAGCCCTGACATCTGAATGAGCACTCCTCTGAGATGTTCCCTCTTTCTTGACTCCTTCTTGTTTTGTGATGCTGAGCTCCATGACTTTGGGAAAGTCACTGAGCTTCCCTGGCCCATGGTGGTGTGACACTGAGCATATAGCTGACATGAAGTGGCAGCACATCCTTTGGCAGCGCTGATCGTGTTACTGGGGACGCTTATGCCTCTGTTCTTGCCTCCTAGTGTTCCACAACCTGTGGCTTGGGCGTGAGGAGGAGAGAGATGAAGTGCAGTGAGAAGACCCTCGAGGGAAAGCTGATCACTTTCCCAGAGCGAAGATGCCGCAATATTAAGAAACCAAACCTGAATCTGGAAGAAACATGCAACCACAGGGCTTGTCCATTGTACAACTTGGCAGCCGGATGGTACTCATCCCCATGGCAGCAGGTAGGTAGGGTATATGCAGATTTAGGAGAATGATGTTTGAGTGAGATGCATCAATCAATCAATCAGTCAATCAATCAATCAATCAATCAATCAGGTAGCCTGCCAAGGATTGCTGTTGGTGCTTGGACACTTGTGTAAATGTAAAGAAGGGCTTGTGTTCTTTGGCCACCCCTATCAGCTGTGTGACCCTGGGCAGGTTATTCAATCTGTAAAACCTTAGTTTTCACATCTGGAAATTTGGAACAGTAATGTCACAGAGCGTTGTTTTTTTTTTTTTTTTTTCCATAAGCAAATGAGGTAATAACTAAGAAGCATTTAGCACCAAGCCTGTCACGTTCTGCTAATGTTGCTACTACCCCTAGAAGCATTTTAGAAATGCTACTCTCATAATCTCTGCTCATTGGGTCCTTAATCATGAACAATACTCTAACACTAATGTTTCCAAACCATTTCTATGCACTCCGTTCGGTATAGTGCATGCATTTTGTGCATGCGTTTGCTCCTTTACTTGTTGAAACAATCCTCTCAGTGGGTATGGTTGTCCCTATTTTGAGGCTAAGACAGATAAGAATCACAGTGTTAGGCAGTTAAAGCCAAGACCACCTAATTTTTGGGTTCATCAGATGTTTGAGAAAACATGGGTAGAATTTTAGTTCCTATGGCCTGGGACTGGTGCATGCCCCTGAATTGGGAGAACAGTTTGTCCTCAGGAATCTAAGATCCCCTGGGTGTCCTTGTGACATTCCTACCAACATGCGATGCATAGCTCCTCAAGGGTTGACTGGCAGGAAGGAAACCAAGGGCCTGAGCATGATTGAATACTTCCAGTTGGCGAGGCGCTATACATATGGTGACAGGTTTCAAGTTTCCATAATTCTGCTCATGTAACGTATTCGGAAATTGATTCTTAGAAGACTTATGTCCATGGTCAGCAAACAATTTCCAGGAAGCCAAATCAGCTCTGCAGTGTCCGCTTTTGTAAGTAAAACTTTTCTGTGAGTATAGCCATGCTTGTTTGCCTCGGTTGCTGGCCACAGCGGCAACAAAGCAGGCTGAGTCGATGGGAGAGCGCAGGTGCCCCCTGAAGCCGGAAGTGTTACGAGCTCTCCTATTACAGATGATGATTTAAGGACAATCATACAATTATATTTGAATATTGGGCTAATTCCAAAATTCATACCCTTTTCACCCCAACCTACTTCTTCCTTTTCCCACATGCTGGGCCAGATAATGAAGCTGCTCCAAAAATGGAAAAAAAAAAACAAAAATACTAAATTGTTAAGGCAAATCCATTTGAAAAGCTCTATTTTCCCTGATAACTTTTTTTCTAGATAGACACATTAAATATTGACTGTCAGTGTTAATTTTTTAATTGGACGGTGAAATCACTGATTTTTAGGGAGCACCAACTCGCCTCTGCTAATTCAGAATTTTGCTGGGCACTGGAGATGCAATGCCAGCATCTCGGGTTATCATTCTTTTTCTCTCCTAGTTTTGAAACTACCCCTATCCACCGTGGCATCTGCAAAGATTACCTGGAATTCTTTAACTAGCGTGCTTCCTTCCCTAGCTGTGTCTGGGTTTGTTTCTGCCTTCTTAAGGTGACTTCCGGATACTGTCTTCTGCATGAGTCACTGAGCAGGAGACCTGCTCCCAGGCTACATAGTATTTGCCTAAGATGCTTCTAATCTGATCAAATGGCTCTCACATGCTACAGTGGATGTAACATACCTGTGTCTGGCTCCAGACAATGAGCCACATTGGCAAGCACCTTGGTAATGTCAAAGAGATGCCTGTTATTTGACATCACTGACCTCAGGAAGGATGCCATCCAGCTGTGCACCCTGACACTCTTTCTCTCTTCTGCAGTGCACCGTGACCTGTGGGGGAGGCATTCAGACCCGCTCGGTCCACTGTGTGCAGCAAGGCCGCCCCTCCTCCAACTGCCTGCTCCGCCAGAAGCCTCCAGTGCTCCAAGCCTGTAATACCAACTTTTGTCCAGCTCCTGAAAAGAGAGGTAAAGGGCCCCATGCCCCAGTCAGTTTTATGACTCCTCAGAGACTGAGTCTGCAGGATGATGCTCCCTAGATTTGCTCTATGAAAAACTTGAGGGCTATTACTGTCAAAATGACCGGGTTTGCCTGGGTCTGAAGGGAACGTTTAATTTTAGAAGATGCTGTAGCCATTCATTATTTGAAAGTGAGGAAAAGGTCATCTTGCAAGTCCCTTTTTAAAAATTAGACATTTTGTTAAACCTGAAAAAGTAATGACCTTGTGACAGAGTTTATGCTAAGCAGTGGAAATGTAAGAACAAACAATAACTGCCCTCAAAGAGCTCACACTTCAGGTTACAGTCAATTACAATGAATGTATAAAGGACTGGGACTGCACTTTCAATGATTTCTTAAAATCAGTTCAAGTGCAGTGGGTACTCATGGGAAATTCAATTCTCAGAGTAAACTGTACACCTCTTTACTAGTCCAACTCATTTTTAAGCAATGCAACAAACACCAGGAAATAGCACAGCTTTCAATGATTTCTTAAAATCAGTTCAAGTGCAGTGGGTACTCATGGGAAATTCAATTCTCAGAGTAAACTGTACACCTCTTTACTAGTCCAACTCATTTTTAAGCAATGCAACAAACACCAGGAAATAGCACAGCTTTTCTAAGGCTGTGCAGTCCCTCACCCTGCTTCTTCCAATTTGTGGTCACTCCGAATCCAGGACTGTTATTAACATGCTCTGCCCTGTCTGCATCTCTTCCCATCTCTCCGTTGTTGACTTACTTCCTAGGTTTTAGGGTCAAGGCATCAATGTTCCTTCTTTCTCTTTATGTTGTCTGAGGATTACAAAGATAAGAAAACATGTGATGTAGCAATTGCTGAAAGTTAGATCTTCTGTGGACCCTGCAGGAATTCTATGAGGAAGAGATGTATGGTTTTGAGCAGCAGGTCACATTCTCTGTGACCCTCTCCCCATCTCTGTGTCATGAATCATTTCTCACTTCTATCCTGCAGTCAGACCATCACCAAGGAACCTATACCACATACAAAGGCTCAGTCTGAGAGAAAACACAGCCTTTGAACTGTCTGAGGAAGGACAGAGGCCAACCACAACAGTTCCTCCTGGGAAAGAGTATAACGGAGGAGAGTTGACATGCCTATGAGGTCCAAGGTGCTAGTGAGGCCACTGGTCCTGTGTCCACCTAGTATATAATGTTTCACTCACCTTTCAGTGGGTGCTCCATGTGCTTTTAATGAATACATGCATGAAAGGGTGAATAAGTGGTGTGTAAATTCCTGTGGGGTCCTCTGTTTCAGTCAAAGCAAAGTCAATAGCATCTCATATATATGCTCAGGGCACTTCCTTAGGGATTAAAAATACAGTCCAGCAGTATGCTTTTCTTAAGCTACAGGAGGAGGAAGATACAACACCACAACCGTATATAAGTGGTGGTGTATTAGCAGTGCTGTATTTGAGGTCAGCACTACCTGTGCTGCAGAAATGTGGGTGATTCACAGGGAGAACATGGGAATGTACCTCTCAGCAGAGTAAGGCTTCTATGAGAAGAGTAAAAAGAGAAGGCACATATTCTTATTAGCCAAAAGTGTGTCCTGTAGTTTACTGGTGGGGATTTTCTTCCCCATTCCCATCCCAAGAATAGGGAGAGTGGTCACATGCTTAAACTATCACTTGGTAGATAAGACCACTTTTATTAGGGTACATTTTCTTGCTGTGAGTTTTTAGGAGATATGAACCAGCAGTAAGCACAGATTCAGTTCATTCACTCATCTCTGATACCACCCCCTCTAGGAACTTACAGTCAGACGGAAGATTCCAGCCATTACAGTAACTCAAACTGGACTCTGGAGAAGATCTTCCTGCCAGGGTTGGCACCATCCCAATTTCTAGCCAAGCAGGTTTCCCATCCCCCAGGCTCCCTCCGATGCAGACAGGTAGTCCAGGGATCTTCATCTTATACTATTATCACTGTGGGATGTTAGCTGAAGGGTCTTGACTGGATCTCCACATTGGGCTGCCATTCTTGGGACTTTGCATTATACATATTTATGTGAAACTACTCAACCTTGTCTGTCATCGTGCATTATGCCTAGCTATTTGTATCCTCTGTGGGAAATTTTGGCTGCAGACTAGTGACATCAAATAAGGGTAATAGTCAGGGAATCCCACATCTTGGGATACAAGGGCTCTGAAATATGAAAATAGATTGGAATCTATATCCTGGTATGTACTTATGCAGCATTGGTCAAGTTTTTATAAAACAAGGAAATAATGTTTACCTTGAAGGATTGTTGTAATTCAATTTCTAATACTTATTTAGCACTTTGATGACAAAGGTTTCTGGTGTTTCTAGATGAAAATAGACCAACATATTAGCAGATGATAAAGCAGCAGATGATAAAACAGTATTCAGAAAGAATAAATGACTGGTGAGAAGAAAGTAGGAAAACTAGTTTACAAAGAATGTTGATGATAGTGAGCGAGACAGGTACACCAGGTGTACACCTAGGAGGCAGGAATATACAACTCTAGTGAAGGAAATTGATAAGCTTGAAGTACACTGAACAAGGTGTTATGCAAATGGATAGGTTCAGATTTAACCCTGCATAGGATGGAAGCCAATGCGGTACATGAACCTGTGGGATCTGACTTGGGGGAAGGTCATTGGCAGTTATGTCACTGAGAGAGCAGGCTGCCTGTAGTAGAAGGGGAACTTGTTTACCCTTTAGCAGGCTGCAGAATCCCAGTGACAGATGGAGAAGGTGCCATTAGCAAGGGTGATTAGAAATTGGGTAAGGATTGAAGATTGAGCCAATAATACTGTACCTATTGCTTGTTTACGTGTAGGATATGAGGTGAAGGAGGACGCCATGGTCATCCTACCTACTATACACTTGACTTATAGTAGACACTCACATAAGCAACTATTAGTAATTAAACTATGTACGCTGACAGCATCCTGCAACACCTCATTTCTGCTTCCTGGCTTACATGAACAGCCATGTACCTGCAAAACCCCATTCTTATCTTAGGAGGGGCAAGTTCTGATAAAACAGGTTAGGACCATGCTTTTAGTAGTTGGGATTTACTTTCCTGTACTACCATTTTATCAGTAGAATAATCTCCACAATCTAAAAGAAACTGGTTAAGATACCTGCTAATTGCTTGAGGTACCAGACAGTGTACAGATGCAGTTTTGCCAATCTTTTTCTCAATGTCGAACTTGTATCTATAACTCAAGTTCCTGGTGCCCATCCCATCCCTGTAAGAGTGTCCATTCCAGAGAACATGACTATTTTTTCAGATACTCAAAAATCTTACTGACAGTTTTTAGGATTTCCCCGCTTCCTGTATCCTTTACTAAACTTGCCAACAAATTCTCTAGACTCTCCCTTTCAAATAGATTCAGGAGTGTCTGGAAACAGAATAGTAATTCTACTTCTCTTTATACCTAAGTGGAGGCTTGGCATGGTTTGAATTGTTACGGCAGCCATGATAGTTACCAAACAGCTTAATTTATTCTTATCAAAATTTATTGAGGAACTATTTTGTGATAGGCACTGTTTGACAAAGTCCCTGCTCTCAAGGATTCTACATCCTAGAGGACAGAGAATAAGTAAACCATCAATATGACAACTGTCAATGAATGTAGAAAAATAAAGGAGGATATAGAATAAAGAGGCCACAGAGATTGATCACTGGCTCTATAGCATAGTCATAGAAAGTCTTACAGATAAATAGAAATGAGAACATGCCCATGTTGGCATGGAGGTCAGCAAGGGTCTAGCATGGCTGTTTGGTGCAGGAGAGGAAGAGGAGACTGGGGAGGTGGGGAACCAGATGCTCAGGCCTTGACCTCCACTGTAATGAGTGTTCCCTGGATGCCAGTGGGAGGGGAGAGTTTGAGGCAGGGGAAGGACATGAACTGGCCTATGTCTGGAAAGGATGCATAGGACTCTGTGAGATGAGGGAGAAGAATCACAGCTCCAAGGAGCCGCAGGCAGTGCCGAACTGTGAAAGGAGGATGCAAACTGGGAGCAACAGGAAAAGCAGCATTGCTCAGAGCCCCGTCCAAGCACCACGGAGAGGCACTGAAGGGTGAAAGAATGAGCAGGTGGCTGTAGAGAGCTTGGTGGGGTCAAGGTCCGAAGCAGTTAAGACTGGGGTAGGGACAGAAATAGAAGAAAAGTCCAGTTATGAATGAGAATGTCTAACTATGCAGAGCTCCTAAATATTTTCCAAGCGAAAAATCCCCTTTAAATATATACGCCAATTATGGGGCCCTAGATCCTACATTCTGCACTTATGCTGACGTAAAGAAAATTTTACATATGATTGCACATGCATTGTTCGTCTCCTAAGGAGCTTCTAAGAATCTCAGATGGACACTGTCCTGCTTCCCCTGGATAATGACGGAGCTCATCTTCTTTAAGCAGCTAAAGAAATTAGGAAGGGCAGACATTAAGGCACCATTTTGCAAACTGGAGAGGAGATGGATTGAAACCTTCACAGAGTGTTGTAGCTCATTCTCATGTCCAGGTGATTGATAGATTAAGCTCCCAACTCCCCATTGACCAGCAGCATCCTTGGATGATTTTCAGAAATACAGAACTGCAGCTCCCACTCTAGACCTTCTGAATCTGAACCAATGGTTTGACAAAATCCCTATGGGATTGCTGATGTGCTTCCCTCTGCCACTCAAGTCTATGGTGGTTTGCAGGCTGTGTGAGAGAATAAAACATTGATCTCTTACTGAATGTGATTTAACATCTAATTTTCCCTCTATTTAGATTTTGCTGATGGTCACAGACCCTTTTGGGATCTTAATCCTGCACCTGCCTTATTCCCCCCGAAGTCTTTGTCCCATAGGTTCACATCCCTCGCTAACATGCTAAATGTATTGTCTCCTTTTAGAGGATCCATCCTGTGTAGATTTCTTCAGCTGGTGCCACCTGGTTCCTCAGCATGGTGTCTGCAATCACAAGTTCTATGGAAAACAGTGTTGCAAGTCCTGCACAAGGAAGAGCTGAACTTGGTGACACCCTAGTAGTCGAGGATCAGAGTCCTACCTTTCAGCCTCCAGAGGGACCAGACCCCTTCGACCTTAGGCTGAGCACTGTGACCCTTTCTTTGTGTGGTGCTACAGGGTCTGAGGAGCATATGGGCTGAGGTCAGGCTCCCTAATCAGTGCTCTGGAGCAGAGGTACTCTGAAGTGCTTGAATATGGGAAGCGATGACAAATCGGACTTACAAAAATAAGAAAGAGAAAATTTTGATTTGCACTGTTACAAAAAAGAAGTGATGTGTCACACTGAGCTATGTCAATTTGACAAATTGAGTGTCTCATCATCTTTGAGACAGGCCCTTTTCCCTCTCTTTGAACTTCAAGGTCCTTTAAGACTTCGGGTCCAATCAAATATGGATAGAACACCAGTCAAAGATGGATGCCTGACTGTTGCTCGGAGTTTACAGTTTGACCTGAACTGTGAACACCCAAATCAGGAGTTACATCAGAAGACAAATGGTGCTCACAGTTGTGCTTGCTGCTGGACTGGCAAGCTTCCTGTTACGTTTATTTAGTGTGTGTGTGTTGTTGATGAAAATATATTCTGCTTATAGAGTCTCCAAGACTAAAATTAACAATTTGAAAAGTGTTCCAAGGAAGAGAACACCACGAACTATTTAAGATCACCGTATAATTGAAATTCACACTGGGTTGGGGGGAAATCTCATACAAGATAAAGATTGATGTCCTTCACATGATATAAACCTCATCACTTTTGGTGCTTGCTGAATAGCCTGGGGCCTCCTCTTTGGGAATGAAAATGAGTGATTTGTTTGTTCATTTCTGGTAAAAAAAAAATCTAGGAAGAACTAAATGGCAAAATAACTGTGTTTGAAAGAGACAAACCCATCATTTATAATGGCTTGTACATATTACCATCGTTCTGAGAAATTAAAGCCTGTTTGTGGCTTTTTCCTATAAACTGAGAAGTTTAAATTTGCCCTAGGATTTAGTTAAGAAAAAAAAAAAAACAGTGGCCAGAGAAAATCTGTCTGTCTTGCTCCATTAATATTAATAAATCACAATTTGCCATGACCCTTCAATGAATAAGAATATTTTACAGGTCTCAAATGATATTTTCAGTCATCAGAAGCCAACCATTGATAGGTATTAATGACCTAAAAAATGTCCTCAATTAGAAAAATACCACACTATTTTGCCAAAACCAAAGTAAGTTACAAGACGGTCCTCCTGTAAGTTTGTGAGTAGTGATTATAAAGGGCATATTTGTATAATGCTACTCTATTCCTCAATTTCTTTGATGAATGTAACCAAATTTTACTGCTTTAAAATGTCTCAATTCAGGCAGAGATGAGCCATCTCAGCACAACCCACCAGACGGTGGGTTTGTTAAATTTAGCAGCATCCTTTGCCCGCATGGTAATTAAAACCACAAGTTCTTGAATCTCACAGAAGTAATGATTAGGAGCTTTTCTCAACCTACTTGGCTTGGCCTTAAGTGGCAGCCATTTTATCATGAGGAAAAAAATGCTTTCCCACCACCACATCCTTGCCCTCTGGAAAATGGCAAGTTATTTGTGTCTTTATATAACTATCATTTTATTATTTTATGGAAAAGTTAATTTATTAATAGCCTATTATGTGTTCTCACTTGCTTCTCTGAGTAAGTGATATTAATTCTGAGGAAAAATGTTGAATAAAACCATGGATTATAGAGAAAAGTCAAAATATATGTGTAATATTTAATTATTTTATAAGTTTTATAATAAAGTATTCTGTTTCTTTACCTTTGAAACTTGTTACGTTCTTCACCAAGTTAATGGGAGGTTGGTTATTTTATAGGTAATTTAACTGTATAAGTCTCACTCAGGAATCTCAGAAAGAAACTTCATTGAGAGGGGAGAAAAGATATGCAATAATGACTTCCACTTTATGTAGGAGAAAACTGTTAAATTCTGAGGTGGAACAGATGATATGTTTACCATATTGAGGAGATACTGAATTATTTTGTTCTACTGTAACAGGCATATCAGCATTTGTAGAAATCATCTAAGATAAAATACCGTAATTGTTTTTTCTATTTGAAAAGCATTTTGCTAAAAGATTTTTTGCAAAAACAAAGAGGGGGAGGGAAAGATGAGATGGGACCGGAAAGTGGGAATAACAAAGGAGAAACTTAAAAGCAGTTCTCAAGTTATTCAATTTTTTAATCATTAGAGCCATGAAGAATAAAAAGTAAGCCAAAGTAAATCCAGTTGATCTGATTATAAGTATTTTCCCTGAGCCCTGTGATCTTACACACACACACACACAAACACACACACACACACACACACACACACACACAGTCCTAGGCATATCTCTAAAATATATTCAATGGAATTTTGTAGACATTATTGCTATTGAGAAAATAAATTATGGTTAAAATATAAAGTGGAAGAGATGTCAGGAAGAAAGGTATCTTTTGGTAATAAAATTTCATCAGAGCCAACTACATTAGTGGTTAATGAGTGCCAGGTACCGTGCTAAGTCTTTCATGTATGTTACTTAATTCGCAGCCAATTAGCAAAATACTATTACCCTTTGTTAACAAAAAAGGATTCTGGCATTTGGCCCGAGGACAAATGATCACCTTGAGATGGGGTGAGGATTCAAACCCAGGCCCACTGGGGTTCTCCTGTCACTGCCTTCCATTATCTCGGCAGAGATAAACAACAACATGTGGACCGTCAAACTCTTGAGATGCAGGCGAATAGAGATGGCAATAATGATTTGACAATGATGGAACATGGGCAGAGCTGGGAACTTCAGGAAGATTATAAATTCCCAATAAGCCCGTATCTTCAACGAAGGATACTTCATTATTTGTTACCTTACTTTTTAAGTCATATTTTTGCCCCTTCATAACTGTTTGTCTCTGTGGTGATAGTATTTCTTGAGCAATAACACCAGAGTGTCTGGAGTCTGCAACCCCAAATTCTTTAGGATGGAGAGAAGACACACAGTCGTGCTCTTGGAACAAGTTCCTTATGCTAACCGCAGGGAGACATGATCCTCCAGCAGGCTGCAGTGCTTAAGGAATGGCTTGGTTTTTCGGTTTTTCTCCGGTACTGGGAACCGAACTCATGACCTTGCGCTTGCCAGGCAGGCGCTTTGCCGGTGAACTAAATCCCCAGCCCTCAAGGAATGGCTTAGGGAATTGAGAGAACAGAACACATTATGGCTACGATGTGATGATGAATAAAACATGATAAATAAAAGTTCATTTATTTATTTATATGGTTTTATCTTTCAACGCTATGCTTTGTTTGCCTTACCTTATCTTTCCCCCAAGATTTTAATTCCTTGAGTCCCTCTGCAGTCTCCACTGATGCTGAAGCTCTAAACACCTATATTTTAGAAGCCTCTGCTAGTTCTGGGAGGTGACCATTATGTGTCCCTCCTCCCCAGAGGACCACAGGCTGATGACGAGGCCAGGAGATAGGAAGAGTTAGGCAGAGAGAATACAGGTCCTGAATAGATGAACTAAAAGTCGCAGCCCAAGGAGTTAGCATACCACAAGGGACAATCAGGGCCTCATAAAATGCATGAAACAAAGATTGGGTCCTTAACCAAATGGAAGAATCACCGGAGGAAGACAAATGCCAATGAAACAGCTTGTTTTCCAGACAGCGAAGGCCTCTACCTGCAATCAGGAGCGTCCCTGCCTTCTATCCTGTACACTGGTACCGAAAACTGTATAAAAGGCTAACGGACCTAGACGTCTATGATATCCGCCTCATGCAACACCTTTCTCTGACTAGTGGGGGGCTTCTCTTTTGTTCTTTCTCATAAACATGTATTTGGCCATTCCCTACCGCTTGCCGTGCGCTGTTTTGTTGGTTTCAGTCTTCCTTGTCCCAAAACCAGACTCAAGATCTGGATTTGGTTACAAGGAGGAGAGGTTCTCAAACTGCTGTTACTCATTCAACACCTTTATGAGCTTCCCATAACCACATGTCACCTCTGCTCATCTGTAAATTTATCCACTTAAGTAAAAATTACTATTTGCTGTAAAGATGACTCACTTAAAAAGCAAATTTTAGAATTTCTTTAAAGGGAGAATCGTTACACACAGCCATAAAATGAAGCCTGGTAAATATTAACATGTAAACTGTAAATTTTAATTAAAAGGAAAATATAGTCATTGCTTTACAAAATTCTTTTTTTTTTTTTTTTTTTTTGGTTTTTCTTCGGTACCGGGAACCGAACTCACGACCTTGCGCTTGCCAGGCAGGCGCTTTTGCCGCTGAGCTAAATCCCCAGCCCCCTGCTTTACAAAATTCTTATCTGAGCAGAGAATCCCACAGTGTTAATAACTGAACTATTCATAATTCCTCAAAAATATCCAGATTAGCATCACTAAGCTCAGGAGAAGGAGGAAATGTTCTGTTAATAAGATCACTTGAAATCTCATTCACATTGCACAGAGGAAAGGCAAATTATATCCATTTAATTGCACTTTGCTGATGGAGCTGGACAGTGTGAATCATGATTTGGTTGAACAGATTTTGAGCAGAGAAGGCATTGAAAGACATCCAGAATGTGTCTTTCTGAAAGTGCCCAGTTATTTTTGTTTCTGCAAAGCTCTAGTCAACTGCTCTCCCTTTTCCTACATTACTATCCTGTTTGAACACCATAAAAACATACCTGCAAAGTGTCCCTCTATGTTTTTCTAAAAGACATTGAATGAGTCCATAGTCAGGTCATTTACGGCAAAAAGCTAATTTTCAATCATTTGTTGACTGCTGTCCTGAACAGATGAGATTCCATGGTCATCCTGAAATCTTAATAGGAATGAGAAAGAGGTACCAACGTCCAGGAACAGGAAATCCTATAGGCCATTTCTCCCCATACCATGCCATCCTCTTCTACATATAACCTTGGTATTATAGGCAGCTAAGTTAGGTAGAAATATTCTAGGCAGTCAAACAGGGCTAGGCCCTCAGAATCAGTGCCAAAGATGAGAACACATTACCACCATGGCTGGAGGTGTATCTGTCAAAGGCTAGGCCTCAAGATAATGATGGAATGACCAGGCCTACATGCCCGTCCAAGGGATGAGCAATACATGAAAGATTATACTCACTTGCTCCAATAAAGTCTAAATAGACATCAGTCACCCAGGTGGGTGACGAGCACCTTGTCACTCATCCCTTCCTAAAATGGTCCTTGTTCTTTCTATGTACACTTGTTACATTACCTGCTCCCCCCGGATCAATATTACCTGAGCGGCGATGCTTGTAATGTTGGTTACTCCTAGTTTTGACCCACCTCGTGACTGTGCTCTATAAAACTTCCTTTGAGAAGTGGGCTCATTTATTACCTACTTTGGGGTTCCCTCCTATCTCTCAGGAGCTGTCTCCCTCAATATATTTTTCCTACTCTTAGAATTCATTCTTCAATTTTGGTGAACCAGGGATGTTCCTGCTGGAGATCCAGCCCGCACACCCTATGCCCTCGGACTCCTCTTCCTGCTCTCGTGTGGCTGGAGCACCGGAGTGGTTCCGCAACCTCCCTGTGTACAAGGCCTTGCCAGCACTGCTGTCCTTAGGCAGCCCCTGGGGTCCTGCTGACTCTCCCCATCTACCAAGGCACAGTGTCTCCCCTTTTGCCTCTCCCCCGCACCCACACCCTTTCAAAGCCAAGTCGTGAAGTCTCAGGACAACGGTTTCTAACTTGCATCACCGTCCCCTAAAGGTACTGGATACATAAACTTCCTTCCTTCCTTTCAAGAAATTGAGTTTTTTAAGCTTGGGAGTTGGGCCTGAGAATTTTTATTTGAAAGTCTTCAAGTTTCTGTAAGAGATAACTACGGAACCACTCCTCTAGAAGGGGAAAACCAAAAGGCTCCTTGGGGCTGTGTTCCCAGACAGAAAGTTCCTTGGTACTGGCGATGCAGGGGTTGGGCCAAATTTGGCTCGTAACACAGTGACCTTCTGCTGCTCCTCTACAGGTGTGCTCTGCCTGGAAACTATTGTTTGGCCAAAATAAGGATTCTTGGGCAGAGACCCAAGGTTCTGGTCATCTTTCTGTTTCTTCTCATTCCCGAGCACGCCAGTTACTTACGCTCCAGGGCTGGTGGACAAGGAGCTGCAGTATTGGGGATGAGTGACTGTCAGTCAAGTACCCACGGGCAAGAGCTGCAGCCCTGCTTGGGGAGGGACGGAGGGAGGGAGGGAGATGAGGTACAATGGGGGAAGCCAATGAGATGCTCATCAAATCCATCGCAAGGCCTCAGCTATGTATATTTATAGAGAAACCTGCAGTTCATGAAAATCTGAGAATTAGAGTCAAGGCAGAACAAAGGCTGCTGTCCTGTTTCCCGCCTGTCATTGGGTGCCAAGGGGCAAATTAACCAGTTTCTTGAACAGTGCCAACTGCCATCCCTTAACATACTGCGAGAAATGCATTGGGTAACTTGACTGAATAAAATGTTAACTGCAGCTTCTTTACAAGTAGAGACTGGAAGGAAAGGAGGGAATAAGGAACAGCAGGAAGGAGGGAGGCAGACAAAGTGAAGGGAGGGAGGAAGGGAGAAAAAAGGAAAGGAGGGAAGGAGGAAGGGGAGGGAGGAGGAAGGGATGAAACAAGAGAAAGAAAGAAAGAGAGAAAAAGAAAGAAAGAAAAGAAAGAAGAAAAAGAAAGAAAGAAAGAAAGAAAGAAAGAAAGAAAGAAAGAAAGAAAGAAAAAGAAAAAGAGGAAAAGAAAAGCAAAGAAATAAAGACAGAGAGTGAGCCTGCTCAG